TAAAGTTAGTTAAAGATGATAATTTATGAAATTAACAGAGAAGTTACTGGTAAACTTAGATAAAATATTTTAGATTTAAGAATTATTTTAAGTTATTAAATAATTGATCACTAGAGATAACTATAAAGAAAAAGAAACATTTAAAGATTTGGTAAATAAGATTAGAGACTAAGACGAATATACATTTATTGTTAAAAAATAGTTGATGTTGTAATTAAATTCTTATGGAAGATTTACTTTAACATTTATTTAAAGGGCTGCGAGAGATAAAACAGCCTCATGGATCTGATATGTCAAGGTAGTAAATTAGGTTGTTGATTAACCAAAAATCTTAATATAGAGAAATGGCTTTCGTCATTAGAAAATTTATGCCGCAATCGAGCTCATTTAGAGATCGGATTTTTATTTTTGATTATTAATAAGAATTGAAATCAATTGTGCAACATTATTCTAATAATAACAGAAAGAGAAATATGCTTAGAAATATATGTCCCTTGCTTTTCAACAACGTGTGTTGAAAACCTTAATGATTTTAGATTTCATTTGTTGTTCAAAAACGTGGGTGTGAAAACCATAATGACAGAGTTCAGTGGTTGTTCAACATAGGTATGAAAACTATAATGATTATACTTCATTAGTTCAACAAAATGTGTGCGAAAAGAGATTATTTATTTCAGAAGTTTTTTATCAAATGATATAAACGGTAAAGAGGAGAAAAAAATAAATAGGTATTATATTTTGTTTTAAAGACGTGAGCGCCCAAAAGCGTATAAAGTAGGAGGAAATAAAGTTGCAATTTTTTTGAAAAAAAAGATATATTTATATTATGGGTAAATATAGAATTTTTTTAGATTCAAGATATTGAAGAGAATTTTATATTTAGAGTCAGCTTTAGACATGGTTGACAAAAGATGTGGATTGATAACTAAAGGACAACTACTTGCAGATTTTCAAGAAGATATGGGCCTAAGCTTCATTGAGGTAAAGGGGTCGTAGAATTTGATATAAATATATAATTTATTTAGCATACTTTGACTATATATTATTATTTTAAGATTTAATTTAGAGAAAAAGTGAGCAAGTATTTCGAAGTTAAGAAATTAGATTATGCAATGAAGAATTAGATTAGAGGCGATAACCTTATACATTAAGACGAAGTGGACATATGATATATTTTATTGGCATATTGAACTATGTAGTTTAAATTTGAGAATAAATGTAAGAAAAAGTGATAAAATAGTTCATAAGTCATAAAGGGTTATATAGATTATTTTAGGGATCAAGTGAGAATAAAGACAAAGTCGATATTTAGGAACTGTCATAGAAGACCCGAAAGTCTAAAAGATATATACGGTTACAAGAATTAGATGCCAAGAACTAATCAATAATAAGAGAACGTTAAAAATAAGCTACTAGATAGAACAGATGTTCGAGACATTCATGCTGCATTAATCGCTTACTAATATCGACAATTGTTTACGGAAACTTTAGTCTAAAATACGAAAGTTGACGATCATATAGACCAGGATTCTTGGAAAAATCGTTAATAGCAAACAAATTATCGTCAAACGTTTACAGAGATAAAGAGCTAATCGGTTAATACAAAAGAACGTTAGAAATAGGCGACTAGCAAGAACAACTGGTCAATACTTTCAAGCTACAATCGTTAATCGTTAACAAAAGTCATCAATCGGTTACATAAATAAAGCGCTAATCCTTCACTACCAGAGAACGTTAGAAACAAGCAAAGACTAGAATAATTTATCTAGAGAATTCCAAACGCTTTAGAAGAAGCAAAGATGGTAAAGAAAGAATAGTATCAATCGATAATCGTTGACTAGCAATCGTGGATCGTTTAAAAGCAAGAGTTAATCTGGTTTGTCAATTACTGATATCAAGAACTATAACAGATGATAGGATCCCAGAATTTCAAGCTGTTATCGGATACAAACAATCCTTAGAAGTGAAGAATACCTGACAATGGACAACCATCGTTAGAACATTAAAGAGTAAGCAGAATAGATTTGGTGGAGATACAAGATCAGTAAAGACAAAATCGAAAGAAGTTGGTCATTCGTTAAGTGGTGGGTCTGACTTCAGTGGAAGGGTGTTGTGATTGTATTATTTTGATTAAAGATCATGTATATAAATTTGAATATTTACGGAAAATAGTTTTTTTCTTTCTATAAAGTTGAATATTTAGAGTTGAGGTAAAATTTGAATATATATATTGTTAATAATACGACGAGTATTATATTATGTAAATAATGAAATTATTTATATATGGTTTTTTATAGAAAAAGAAGATATTCTTTCTTTCTTTTTTACTTTTATATTTTATTTATCTTTTATTTTTGGTTATGTTTTCACTTTATATTTAATTATTAGTAATTAATAAAGATTTAAATTTTATTATCTAATTATATTTCTTTATATTTTATTTTTTAGGTTCAATTTTTTCATTATTTGACAATTATCTGTCCACCCCTTGATCAACTCCTGAATTGGTAACCATATTACCTTTCTCCTTAAATCCTCCTCTCCCCTGTGTCCCAATCATAAAAGTTTGACCTTTTATTCTCATAATACGACTTCTCCCCAGTTAAACTGGGCATCCATATCAAATATATGCTCAACGCTCCAAAAATATTATATTGTGTACCTCCTATTATTTCATGAATTTTAAATTTTCCATCCCCACATTATGAAAAAGTTACGATAAATTTTAAAATTAATTAGGTAAAATTCAATAATAAACATATACATAAATTCACGCATAAAAATTTCACATAAACAACGGTTTTTTTTCCTACTAATTAATTCCGGTATACAACGGTTATCCCCTATATAATTCCCCTACACAATCGTTTTCCCTATAAATTCCTGCATACATTCCTCGATATATATACCGTACACAACGGTTTTCCTTGATATATATCCCGTACACAATGGTTTTTCCTAATATAAAACTCCCGTACACAATAGCTCTTACCTTTATAATCCCCGTACAAAATCGTTTTCCCTATATAATTAATGTATACAACGGTTTTCTCCTATATAATTCCGGTATACAACAGTTTTCATAATTCCGGTAAACGACAGTTTCCCCTATATATTTCATTACACAACGTTTTTCCAACTATATAACTCCCGTACACAACAGTTTTTCCCTATATAATTTTCGTACACAATTTATTAGATGTCTGCATTGTGCGGCCTCTGAAAAAAATTATTTGGACTGGGCAAAAAAATTATTGGCCAAATTAACACAGAATATAATCGGAATATATAATATTAATTGAGAATAAATTAGCTTTAGTAATTAAATTATATATCTGGGCAGGTATAAAAAATCATTTATAAGATATTTTTAAAATATTTTCACAAATTTTTATATAGAAGAATTAAAATATTTTATCCACCAAATGGCGTATTTTAATATTTTTCATTAAATTTTATATTTCTTAATCAATTTTAATAATTTATTTCAGTTGCTTGATAACATTTATAAATTGATTTACCCTATACAATAAAAAAGGTATTTGCCTACCATAGTTTAAAATTCTCAATATAAAATGTCAAGATCAGGCAAACCGGAACGACTACGAGAGTGACGGTTCAAGTCCGATTGAACTCGGATTCAAATATGAACGGGGAAAGGGGCTCTATATATTTTTTTGAGATATCATTGGTAAACAAATTTTGTTAATGCTGTTATTATATAAATTTTTATATTACACAACAAAAGTTATATACTAAGTTTTGTTAAATTTCACAAGAACTAGGTATGGGATGAAGCTTAGCAGTTAACCTAGAGCCAGGGTTAGAGAGATGCGGTTTAGGGTAGGTCTAATCAAAAACGAATAGAATAATGAATACGAATAATAAATAAATACCAAAATAATTATTTGAAACGAATAATTAATGTTTTAACACAATGTAATCATTTGTCATTTCTATTAGTAGCCTATCAATCTTAGAGATGATTAAAAAGATCATTAAATGCATAAAAACTTTTCTATATTAGATCTAATTCTTTCAAAAAGTAGTATGCGTATGCCTTATAAAGAACCAATAAGAAAATCTGCATTAAAAATTTGCATGATCTATATCCTCAGATTAATAGATTTGTCGTGCAATAAATATATTCTCTCAATATATTTTCATATGAATTATTACATAATATTTAAAAAAATGAACTATACGAATGATTAGATCAAACAAAGATAGTAAATTTTATTATTCGTATAAATATTAAATCATTCGATTGTTTAAACAAATCGAATAATGTACTCTATTTGATTCCTGGCAGGTAACATATGGGTAGGGTTATACAGTTATGGTAGGATCGGTTGAATTTTTCCAAAATGGGTTGAAATTATAATTACTTGTTTTTTATGGATCAAATTTTTATTTGGTGAATTTTTTCTATTTTGTTGAATTATTTAAATTTTTTTAGGATTTAATGTGGAATTTTTTTTCGAGAAAAAATTTCCCCGTAGATTATTTTTCAGAAGAACTATCTACCTGGTGATTTATTAGGTCGAAGTTTATTATGATTCCCCAGTCAAGATCCTAGCGTCTGAGCTACAGAAAAAGCTGCAAGAAAATAATTTTAAAAAATTTGTATATCAGGATAATTTATGACATTATTCTAATATCTTTACGATAATATAAAAAATCAATAATGCTCGAAGCTATTCATGGGATACTCGTATATCACTACCAGACATTTTGATTCTTATACTTAATAAAAAAAGACTTATTATTTGAAAACAAGTTTATATTAATCAATATTGCTTTAAATAGATTTTTATAGCAAAAGCATAAATATAGTGTTTGAGATAATTTTGGTCTATTTTCAACACTCTTTAAAACGCTTATCATGATATTCTTATCTTTAATATTAAAATCTTCAAATTTTATATTTATAATTGTTAAATTAATAAATTGTCTAAAATATCAAAACTTAATATAGAAATTAAATTTTGAGCAAGGTATAACAGTTCATTTTAAAATGAAAACAAAATAATAAATTGAAAAATTTGTTCTAAAATTATATAACTATGTAGAACGGTTTATTCTATAAAAATCAAAAATATCGGTCAGATTTTCTTTTATTAACATTTTTCGCGTTTTTCTTATCGATAGTTTTTGAAGGATTTTTCGGGATTAATTTATCGTCATTTTGAAGATTTTGGGGAAATTTGGGAAAACCAGATTTTTTAATATTTTTAAGGTTTGTGGGGTATTCGTAAACTGGAACGGATTCACTGGAATGTCTAAAAGATGGCCGCCTTTCGATGGCACCGATTCCTTTTAAAATGACCGATATATCATTGTCATTTTTTGATATTATGTCGTCGCGGATAAAATTTTTCGAAGATAATTTTCGAATATCGTATGGCACATCGATTTGGATATAATTATTTGTTTTATCTTCATTCGCAATTTCATTGTCATTTTTATATTTGATATTGTTTTTTAATGCCTTTATCTCGTTTTGATGAAGATTCGACTCTTGATTTTGGATCATTATAGCTATTAAATATGTTATAAAAAAAATAATTTATTTTCAATCAGAGTCCTGGAACAATTTCAAGAAAAATTATGAAACGAAACAGGGTTATTAGAAAACATTCCCTAAACAATTTTGGAATGTTCTGAAATTTTTATAAATATGAAATAAAACTTTTATATTACATATTCCAATACTTATAAATGGCTCATATGTAAATAAATTCCAGTTTGCTTCAAATAACAATACTATAAATATATGAATATCTATCAGATTTAAAATATATTTTTCAAATATATCTAGATACAGATTATATGGATGGCCTTAAAATGTATCTGAAAATAAATATATCTTTCAAGATAAACTAAAGATATAATAAATCTATTTTTTTTAAATTATAATCATGTAAGGTGTGCATAATACTAAAATGAAAAAAGATTATTAAAACTCAAATTGTAATTGAACAATTCATTTTTTATTCAGTTTGATATTTTATTCATAGGCAAAATATATAATTAAGCTATTATAAATACCATTGTTAACTTTGATTATCACACTCATTTAAACAGTCACACTAGAAGTCTAGTGCGCTGCAAGAAGTTTCATGTTATATTTCATGAATAACATTTTTTTTATACAAGGATAATGTTTAGATTAAAAACTTTAAATATGTTAAATCACGATATTTATTTTTCAAATGATTAACAAAATATAATGGAGTGTTAAAGATTATGCCCTTATCTCATACGAAAATAATTTAAAGCTTAAAAAACCAGATTTTGCAGATTGAAAAAAAAACTATTTAATCAAGGTTTTAGCTAAATAAATATTATCCCTGCCTCGAGATTTTACCAAAAAAGCAAAATAATCTCTCCCATAATGGAGAAAAATTAACTTAGAAACTAAAATCTTCACTTATCCAATTTTTAAAAATCGGATAATTCGACATTTATGACATTAGTTACACCCACTATTTCTAACTTATTCTATAATTTTTTTTATCTTTCATTTTTGTTAATAAAGTCGAATAATTTTTACAATCATCCCTAGCCCATTCCAAAACAAGTCTCCTGCCGTATAAATGACTGCTTGGTTGAAGAGCTTCTAAAGCCCGCGAAGCCTCGACAGAATTGGCAAATTTTACGAAAGCGAATCCTCTACTCTGATTGGTCGAAGAACTGTTTTTTTTGGTCTCGGGGGCTTTGTCGGAGAATTTTCGAGGCAACCGGACAGAATCGACATGACCGAACGCCGAAAAAAGTTCACGAATTTCTGAGATATTCGCTTGGAAGGGAACGTTTCTAACCAGGATATTGGTATTGGAGCTAGTGGCGTTGTCAGTTAGATTAGATGATGTTAATCTTCTAATATTTGGAAGAGGAGCTAAATTATTTAGGGGAAAAAAATATGATGCATTTGGATATAAAATTTATTTTTGATATTTTTAAATTCTTAATTATTTTTATGTAACTAAAAAATTTGATCATCAAGTATCGATAAAAATATTTAATTGGTTGATAACAATTAAATTTAAAATAACAACAAAAAGAATATACTAAACTTAAAATAAGTAAAATATATAAGATTAAAAAAAATTAGATAAATTAAAAGGCCTTAATACCAATTCTGGTTATAGATTCATTGACAGAAAATTGAAAAAATTTTCAGCCCTATTTTTTTGGTAGTAAAAAAAGTGAGCAATTTTTATTTACTAAAAGAGAATTATTGTGGATATTAGATTCGAAAAAACATCTAATTTCTATGAAGAAATGCTCGCAGCCATGATAGGAGAGGGGATTTTAGATTTATAATAACTTTGATAAAAAATAATTTAATGTTTGAGAAAGAAATGGGTAACAAATTTGGATGGTAAATCTCAAGAGAAAACCCAGTTAATAAATCTTGAAAAGGAGTTTACAAAAGAGAACAATATGAAACTAGATTTTAAGGGTAACCCAAACCAGTTTCAAAATGGCTAAAATTTAATGACATGAAAATGTGAAAAATGTCGGTTGGTAAGAACTCGAGGGAATGAGGTGTAAAAAAATTGGAAATATTCGGTATCTAACCAGTCCGATTAGGTTGGTTACAAAATAACGCGTTTTCCTATAAAAATAAAACCCAATTGGAGATGGAACATGAGATAATTTAATATAAAAAATAAAACCATTTTTATAAGAATTAGAACGTAACAACTCCATTTTATGGCCATTGAATTCTTTTCCCTGTAATTCTTTGAGAGCTAGTGTAGCCAATTGTTCAGTTTGAAAGGTCAAGAAACCGTACCCCATAGAGAGTGTTTCAACTTTTTTTAAAATATTTAAATAATAAAAAAACAAGTTTTATTAATTGGCAGAGACCTGCAAATCCGCCCTGAAACGGGCCGAAAAATGGTATGATTTTTATAAATTACTCAGTTGGATAATTATGAGCGTTTAATATTCATTTATTGCTCATGTTTTCAATTTCCCTTTGTAAAAAAATTGTAAAATTATACGAAGTAATGAGATTATTTATGGCCGGGCCTACAAATAATCAAAAATAAAAGTTATCCTGGCTAAAAAAAATCCCGGGCAAAATTTTTTAAAGATTCCGGGCTAGGTTTAAAATTTTTTTTTTGAGAAATACTCCAGCATGTGTAAAGTAGCTACCATATCAATTTAAGAAAATTAGATCAACTTTTATATGGCGAAATTTTACGAAATTTATTGGGTGCGGGTAAAATAAGTTTTAAAAATAATAATTGCCCTGTTTAACAAATGAAATTTGAAAGATTTCAAATGTTCAAGTGAGGATAAATAATTATAAAACGTATGACATTATTGCATTCAAATATAACTTTATTAATATTTTTTTAAACAATTTATACTATATAATCCAAAGCAGAGAAGTAAAATGAGCCCATATTACCGAGTTTTGTAGCAATGCTCTAGCATTTTTTTAAAAAAAGGTAGCGGTGCTACTAGCAACACTGTTATTGATATATATTACTATTTCCTCATATTATGCAAACTTGTTTAAAAAATAATTATAGTCTGATTTCTTGTGGAGTAATTCTATAAAAAAGGTCATTATTATTATGGATTGTGAGCTTAAATTCAAACTCGCAACTTACTGGAGCTCATTTTAGTAGTTATGTGGTTAATGCGTACCATAAATATCACTTAAAATCATAAAAAAAGCAATCAATACCTAATCGATAACTTTTCTGCCCGACCCTTTTAATTTTGATAAAATTTTTCACACTGAGAAAACAACATAAGAAAGCATCGAATCCAAATTTTAGCCTCCAAGTACTTAGTTTCTGAGATATTAATGGTCAAAAGTGCCAAAAATGACCGTATAGTAAAATACAATTTTTAAAAATTGAGATAAGTTAAAAATAATGATGCTTAAAATAAAAGTTATATATGATTTTGTAACTCTATTAAAGGCGATTTATTAGAAATTAAATGTTTATAAAATAATAATCTTGCGGTTTTTTATTAAGTTATAAATTTTGAACCTGAAAACGCCAGGGGTTTCGCTTTCAGAATTTCTTTGAATTTAATATTTTTTTATTCACTTATATAATATCTATAAGTAAAAAATTTTTAACTTGGGACAGCCATGGGGCTTTTAGTTACGATTTAAAAAAAAATTTTTTTTTTAAAATAGATGGCGCTCCTATATAAAATAACGCATTTTTGTTAAAATTATTTCCATTTTTAAACATAAATAATAATATTTTCCAGCATTAATATAATGAAAAATATTATTCAAGTCGGCAGGCTTTATTATTATTACAAAAATTAAATGTTTTTAAAATAAAATGATTACATTCCTAAAGATAATTATGATTCCGATATCTCCTGCAGGAAAATATGAATGATAAAAGCCAGTTTTCAACCTGCCTGCTATTAATTAATTTTTATTTTACAAATATCTCGATATTAATTACATTTTTTTCATAATTATAATGTATAAATATAAATGCCCAAATAATTTTAAAGAATCTAAGTATACTTTAATTACAAAATGAATCTGCCAAATGTTATGACAAGGAAAACTTAATTTACAAATATTGAAGCGGAAAACACTATATTTCTGATGCTGTAAGTGTTTATCACGAAAAAAATCTAGAAAATATAAATTCTGACCGCGAATATGAAATAAATAATATCATCACAGTATATATATCAATAGATACAATCAATATTAATATAACTGAAATTGGATTATCTCCTATTATGAAAAAAAACTTACCAAAAAAAGATAGCGAAAATATCAAAAACTATTATAAAACTAATAATTAACAATCCAGAATAGGTTAGAGGCCAAGGAAAGTATACAAAGACCTTATTCAGGTCAAATAATTATACCTGTACAATTTTATAAATATATTGAAGAGTCTATAAAAGGTATAAATTTTTCTTATGCCACCATACCAGAATATGAGGCAGGAGAGATAAGGCTAATTTAGTAAATTTATTTTAACACATGGGACATAAAAAATTCACGCAGTGTTTCCAATAGGTCTAACTAAGCTCATTACTATAATATATACCAATTTGCAGACGTTTATTGTGGAGAATATAGTAAATCAATGTGATGATCTATTAATCGATAATAGAGAATAAATAATGCGTATGTAAAAAAAACGATTGGTGGTCAGAATTTGTACACAAAGTGGATGTAAATAGAGATGAAATGAGAATAAATTTTCTCCATCCTAAAGGAGGAGTAAATTCTCTGTTTATGCAGCAGCACCAGATCTCCTTTTCATATCCAAAAATAATATTTTAACAGTAATTTAATTAAAGACAACTGGGTATACTTGTCATTTACTGTAAAATGAAATTATCAAATACTTAATTTGATGTAAAGCAAGTTATCTTTCATGTAATTTTGCTATAATATTTGCAAAATTAATAAAATTTTTCCAAAATTTAAATTTAAATTTTTACATGAAAAATATTAATATAATAGCAGCTAAATAATTTTCATGATAATAATGCTTGAAAATCTTATTATTTATGTTTAAAAATGGGAAAAATTTAAAAAATAATAATTTTAGCAAAATGCTTTATTCAATATACAAGCGCCATCTATTTTTTATAAAAATATTCATTTATTTTTTTAAAAATTGTAATAAATTAAAAAACCCATGGTTTTAATAAGTTAAAAATTTCTTACATATAGATATAATATAAGTTAATAATAAAATATCTTCGGAAAGCGAAACACCTGAAGTTTTTAGATTCAAAATTTATATATATATTTATATTTTCCTCTTTAGCTTTTACCTTTTCTGGTGGTAAGCTCCTACAATATCTCTGTCCACTTTATGTTATTCATACTATCTCTTTTATCTAATTTATACTTCTTTATATTGGCTCTAACTTTATGGCCCCATTGAAGTTTTAGCCTTCCTCTTTCACGTTTACCCATCACTTCCAAACTCTCAACCTTATTTTCTATGTAGTTCATAGGCCTTCTCATTGTATGCATACCACCTAATTCTGTTTACCATTATCTTAGTCTTATAAGCACTACCTTTAAACTTCCTAGTATTCTTGTACTTCTCACCTTATCCTTTCTTGTTACCCCAGCAATCATCCTCAGCATTCTCATTTACATAGTTTGTAGACTTCTCTCGTCTGATTCCTTGGTTGGCCATGTTTCCGAACTATATAGAATAGTTGGTTGCACTATGGAACTGTATATTGTTCCCTTCAATTTGTGTGGGGTTCCCTTGATTAATTTTACTCTTCATCTCTTTTTCTATTGTGCCGTTTGTTTCCCAAATATTTGCAGCTTTCAATTTCATTTATATCAATACTCTCTGTTTCATCTCCTCCTATCACCATATACTCCGTCTTTTCTCTATTTACTTTTAGTCCGTGCTTTTCTAGGATATTTATCCAACTCACCAATCTTTCTTTCATTTCATCCTTGGATTAGGCAATTATCACAATATCATCTGCAAATATTATATTCCACGGGACTGTTTGAGGTATAGACTGTGCTAATACATCTATTACTATTATGAAGAAAAGTAGGCTGAGAGCTGACCCTTGATGAACTCCCTCGGCTATTGTGAAGCCTGTTGAAGTAACAGTTGTGCTACGGACCATTGGTATGGCCCATATACATATCCTGTATTATTCTTAAATATTTTTCGGGAATCTTTTTGTGGCTAGCGCCCTCCAGATATGTTTTCTTGGGATTTTATAGAAGGCCTTTTCTAGATCGAGAAAGACCATGTGTAGCATTTTGTTCTTTTCCCTGTATTTTTCACTCATTTGCCGAATTGCATGGATAGTATCAGTTGTTGATCTTCCAGGCATAAAGCCAAACTGAGTCTCTCCTAGGATTATGTCTCTTAACCTTTTTTCTATTATTTCGTAGAGTTTAAGACAGTGTGACATTAGTTTTATGCCCCTATAATTTTGACAATTGTGTGGATCCCCTTTATTTTTGAAAGGAACTAGATAGCTCTGCCTTTATTGAGGGATCTTTTCATTTCCCAGTATTTTATTGTATAGATTTGTGAGATGTATTCCATCATCTTCTAGTGCTTTAAGGCTTTCTATTGAAATATCATCTGAACCCCTAGCTTTGTTGTTTTTATGCTTGAGGCATATGATTATTTCTTGTTTTGTTATTGGTTGTACAAGATTTTGACATGGGGAGTGTTCATCTAGATGTAGTATGTAGGGATTAAAGTTGAGAAGCTCTTGAAAATATTCTTTCCATTTATTCATTATTTCTTTTTCCTTTATTATCAATTTCCCATCTTTATTTTTGATTACTTTCGGAGCTCCGTTTATATCCCTAGAATTTTTTTCTCGCTGTTTGGCTACATACATGTCATGGTATGCCATAGCTTTGGCCCTAGCCACCGCCTTTGTAGCTATTTTCTTGGATTTTTTGTAATTTGTCTTGTCATCTGGGTTTTTGGATTTGTACCATATTTTATATAGGGCTTTTTTCTCCCGTATAGTGGTTTGTACCTCATCATTCCACCACCATAGTTCTTTGTATGATTTGTTGCCTCCCCTTGTCAAGCCTATTGTTGATTTGGCAGTGTCTATTAATCTGGATGAAAGGTCTGTCCACATTTTTTCACTGACTTGTGAGGAATCTATTGTTTCAATGATTGCAAAGGCATCTGCCATTGATTTTAATCTTCCCCATTTAATGCATGGTTCAAGTTTTATCTTGTTTTGAGTGGATTTTTTTGCGATGTGTAAATCCATGACTAGTAGCTTGTGTTGTGCGGCAATATCTTCTCCTGGGATGATTTTGCATTCTATTACATCTTTTCCTAGGATGACTTTGCAGTCTATTACATCTTTTAATCTTCTGCGAGAGATAAGCATGTAATCTATCTGGGTTTTCCTTGCACGACTTTCATATGTTATTAAATGACTGTCCTTTTTCCTATAGTAGGTGTTGGTTAAGGCAAGGTCGAAGGCTTGCACAAATTTCGGTACATGCTCTCCTTATCCAAAACCTCCATTATGCCTTTTGTAGCTGTCTCTTGCTTTTCACACATGCGCTTTTAAGTCACCACCTATTATGACTAGGTCATCCTTAGGGATTTCCATTACAGCTTCATCAAGGATAGCTCTAAAGTCATCTTTCTCCTCTTCTTTGCAACCCATTTGTGGATCATATACTGAAAGGATGTGTAGTATTATTGACCAATGCAGAGTTTTATCTTCATTAGTCTATCAGAGATCCTGTTGACTTCTACTACTGAGGAGGTTAGATCTTGACTGAGGATGATGCCGACACCGTTTCTATTGTTAACAATTCCATTATACAATTTATACCCATCTCCAATCATTAACGTCTTCTGACCTTTCCATTTCGTCTCTTGTATGCACGCTATATCAACTTTTCTCTTGTTCAACATTGATGCCAATTCTCTCGTCTTACTTTTAAGTGCCCCAATATTCAAACTTGCTAACCTTGTCTTCTTTGCTTTGACCTTTATTTTATTTTCACATTATGGAGGTTTACACCCTGCCCGTCGCTTGGAGGGAACGCCCTAGCTTTCATATTCATATTTCCATTTGTGTCTTCATTTTTGTTTATTGGACAAGTATCCCTAGCACCCGGCTGTCCAAGCCTGTCGGTGACCGGGGTGTCATCTCTAAGCTCCGAAATCCATCTTACCATATGTCTTTACATCAGTCATCGAAGAAAAACCGGAAAATTTTTACATTCCTTACCAGGATCGAACCTGGGACTTTCTGTTTCCAAGCCTACATCATAACTCACTAGGCCACCCCGGCGATAGATTCAAAACTTATATAATAAATAAAAACCGCAAGATTATTATTTTATAAAAATCTTTAATTTTTAACAAAAGGCTGTTACAAAATGTCATATAACCTTATTTTTAGTATTATTTGTTAACTTATCTTAATCTAGTATTTTTCGAAAAAGTCATTTTTTGGCACTTTTGACCATTGATATCTCAGAAACTAGTAGTACTTGGAGTTAAAATATTTGATTCGATGCTTTCTAACGATGTTCTCTCAGTATGCATAATTTTATCAAAAAAGGTAGGCCGATAAGTTATCTATTTGGTATGGAATTACCCATCAATCTAGTTATTAAAATAAAAATATTAAAATTATTTAACAATAATACTTGTATTTCATAATTACAAAGAAAATTTTTATCAATCATTTCATTTCTAAGGATGTAAAAAACAGTTTTTTCCCCAATGTTTTAAATAGTAATTTATAAAAAAATTCCGAGAGATAGAAAGAAAGTTTATCATAAAAAAACTAGGATTGCTAGGATCCCTCTTGTAGGCTATTTTTGCGCAAACGTCGCCAAAACTGGCAAACATCTTTTGAAGTTCAAAATTCGTGGTAGAAAAATTGAGATTTTTGACAAACAGAGTAGAACCCATGGTTGTTGAATTGGAAATATTAGAAATACTTTCTGTATTCGTTGGGGCAGAATTGTTATTCATATTTTTTTCTGTTTTTGAAGTAATAGGTATATCTGCATGTGATTATTTTTTTTAATAGGAATATATAAAAAGTAAAATTATAAATAAAATCTTTTATAAACACTAAAGACATTAATTCAATGGTCATAAAAAAAATTCTTTCTTTTTTAAAATAATTAAGTAGATAATCAAAGTTTTACAGGAATTCAACCACCTTTTCATGACTTAGATGAAAAAATAGGAACTAAATAATTTCTTTTCTTCCCCGATCTATTATATTTTTCTAATATATCTTATATATTTATTTATTTTAAAAGTAATTCTACTATCCATTCATTTATACTCATTCATAATCAATTATTTAAAAATATTTGACTTCATTATTCAGCCATTAAAAATTAATCGCGTCCATTCATTCATAAGTAAAACTCTTATGAATATAGAGACAATCAGGATTCTAAAAGGAAAATGAATAAATTTATGGATCAAGAACGGAACGGTGATTCTAAAACGTTCTGAAAAATAATCATAAATATATATATTTTTTTAAATTACAGTTTGCTTAACATCATAAAAACAGTATTTTTGAATCAAATTTAGAACAATCTTAGTAATATTATGAAATAAAAGTTTCACATTTAAATGTACAATTCCAATAAATAACATCATCGCATATATGATAATCTTTTAAAGAATATTTTAATGCTTAGATATATACCTACAAAAATAAGAATCGAATATTTGCATTATTCATATTTAGGAATCGAATAATTGTATCATTCGTACGAATTGAATAATTCCTTATTTATATTCATACGAATAATAAAAACATTATTCGATTTGATTCGAAATTTAAATTCTTTAAAAATATTCAAAATGAAAAAAAAATTAGATGAAAGATTCTCAATAATTATTTGAATGAATCAGTAAATATTTCTTGTGCAAGAAAATTATAAAAGGTTTACTTATAAAAGATTTTTTACTAAACATATTTGGGATTTTGGGTTAAATTTGATCAAAAATCTTCTTTCTTTAAAAAAACCTTTAGATTTTTTTTTCAAACTCTGGAAAAATTAGATTCTTATCATTTAAAAAGTGATTTAGAAATGTAAAAAAATAAAAATTCCGTAAGGAAAACATTAAATACTTACAAATAATTTTAATATTTATGAATAAGTTTTCATATTTACGAATAATTTCGAAGATATACGATAAATTTTGAATAATATGAAATAATTATTTTATACGAATAATTTAAAATTTAATGGATAAAATATCGACGAATAATATATTTTCCTTATTAGTATTTGATTCGAATAATTTGGATATTCGTATTTGTAATATACAACTCGAATAAAATAGAACATTGAATAACTCGTTTTAGGTATAGTTAGATATAATAGTTGATTTATATTATAATGTAGAGGGCACGAAGCCCGGCTCAAAAGCATGGCCAGCGGGCCTGAATTGATCAAAACATTTTTAGAAGTTTTGAAAATATTATAAAGCACAGAATTAAGTAAATTCATATTGATTTCCTTCATAAAAAATTATTACATTGTACAAAATATATTGTACAGGCAGTAAAAACTGGATAGAAGATTTTCACGAGTCGGTTCGAGTTTGGCTGATTTCTGTTATGAAGATTAGTAAATACAATATGTATATTAATAAAAATAGAAATAAACTGTCCCAGCCGTAAGTATTTTTTTTTTAATATTTTTCTTCTTAGATATCAATAATATTGTGTATTGTTGATTGGTAGGAATTTAAACAAAGAATTATAATAGATACATATTTTTTAACGGGGAAATATATGGATAATATTAATATATATGTATTTTTTGAGTATTCTTTTTTTTTTGAAGATTTGTTTTTGTTTTAAATAATAGAAGGAAAATATTTTACGCGGAATAATTTTTAATAATATTGTTAATGAAATAAATAATTTTAATATTTGAAATGTAAAATATTTAGTAAGAAATTAGTTAGTAAGAAAATTGAGTTTAAGTTGAGGTCTAAGAACTGAAAGTTGAGATTAAGTTGAGTCTTAGAAGTTGAAACTTATATATTTTCTTTCAGGAACACGTTCCAGAATCGAAACTGGGAAGGGAGCTATTATTTGGCTGAAACAATAACGAAAAAAAGCTTTTGTTCCATGTCCCTGGAAATAAACAATTCATTCATTCGCATAAAAAAAACCTTTATTATGAATGAGGCAATCGATAGGAGCCCATTCAAGGTAAAGGGGAACATCTTTAAATCTGGTATAAGCTAAGCTTTTGAAAGCTTTTCTAGCGTCTTGAGGCTCTATGAATTCGACGATACAACTCAGTCCGTAAGATGGAGGCAGAACGAGGCGAGAGATTTGACCAAACTTTTCGAAAACACGCCTCATGTCTTCTTGTTTAGTTTCTTATAAAAAATTTTAATTTTTCTTTGAAATATCAACGAAATACATCATAGTATTTTACATGGTGATTGGTATTAAGAGAATATAAGCGATAGTATTCTTAGTTGGTTTAAAAAATTGATGAAAGTATTTTATAACTGTCCAAATTTGAGACCGTTATCTGCAATGGAAACGAAGGCACTAATTAATACAACTTACAGTAAAATTAGATTATAAATTAACTTTCTTAAAAAAACACTAATGAACATAAAATACTAAAAATTAACCTGCAGGTAAGTTTTTGACTAGAATGATGGTCTTGCTTCGTTTGAATTCGGCTAAAATTATTTTGCATTTATTTAGGAAAAATATATTAGTCGAGATATATGATCCAAGTTCAATCGTTTTCATGGACTCGGTCACTTGATTTTAAATTAATTTCGAACAAGATGGAATCTCAACAAAATTTTAAATTCATTTTGTTTTCCTAATTGATTTTATGAATATTATTATCAAAAATAACCATAAAATTGCATGTTATCCTTCATCACATATATATTTTCTGATTTTACTGTATGGTATTTTTTAACAGTCAAATATAAAAAAAAAATCGGATCGAACCTATATCTAAGATAAAATTTCATATCAGATAATACTCAGATTATTGGGAAAAAATTCTCGAATCAGATCAGTCGAAAAACAAAATATACATAATATGTCTGATATGCAGGGCACTAGAATTAAATATAAAAAAGTGCATGGTGAATTTAATTTTAAAAAGACGATTTTTGGCTCCTCTAAATTTTTTTAAATTTATAGATAGTAGTACCTAGAGTAACTAAGAAAAATGTAAAATTTTGAATAAAAAATTAAAATATCTAATTTTCTTTATGAAATTTTACATGACCAAATATTATAGTTGGATATTATAATATAACCAGCAATTATTAATATAAATTTTATACCATTTAATAATATATTTAAGCATTATTTATAATTTTAATGTTTGATTTATTACTTTTGGGAATTTATAAAATTATAAGCGTTAAAAGTTTAAGAAAATTTCGATATTAATTTATGACCCTTAGGAAAATAAGCTGTACATAAAGTGTGCTAAAATTATAATATATTCATTTAAGGCGTAAAATATTTCTTATTCGTTTATGGCGGATTATAAAAAGGTGATTACTTTGAATTCTTTTAATGAGATTAAATTATTCGAGCGAGTGCAAAAAATTTAATCATGAATATCAAGGAATTGTTAAGTTATAATACATCTCAGGAAACACAAAGTTAAAAGTTTAAAAAAAAAACAAACATTGGGCAGAGATGTTCTCAAAACTTTCCAATCTAACTCCGTTTTCTATGAGGAAGGTTTTCATTTCATTCACAACTTCTGTTTCTCCTAGTGCTAATTTAACAGCTGAGCTACTTTTCTTTTTGCTTTGTATATCGTTCTAAAATAAATGGCATATATTTATTTAAAAGAGAGAAAAAAATATATCAGTTATGAAAATATCATTCAAAATTATATTTGAATTTCATGGTATCTTGAGATTTTCCTAAAATCAACATATCATTAAAAATAAAAAAAATGATATGAATTTTACCAAAAACTTATTAACTTCTAGATCAGAGAGTAAAATAAGAAATGAAACAAAATAAATAACTTCTTCGAGATTATTCCCGTATAGTTCTCTTTTATCGACTTTGTATTTTGTCGCCATAACGTTAGCGATGGCCGCTGAATCTACGAAAAGACTGTTCCAATTTTGTGTCTTTTTCGAGGCGGTGGCCACCTTTTCGGTGTTTTGGCAAGTCTTGTAAGAAGAAGAAGGATCGGTGAGATTATTTACTAGAAAAATATTTAAAGATGATGAAAAATAATATGTATTTATTATAAAATAAAAAAATATTAGAGGATTTTTTTTCTTTTGATCCTTAAATAACTTTTGGAAAAGAGAGGTGATGAAACTTGATTGCTATAATAGCTTGTTAGTAAAATAAATAACAGTTTATACGAAGTAGTGTTAAACGGCTCGATTTTTAATACTTTAGCTAAATTATTATATTTATTTATAAATAGAGATCAAATGAAATTATAATGAGAAAATTTCTTTTGTTTTCATATTTTAATATGAAATTTAATTAAATCGATGCCTTTATGATATAAATATATTTTTAAATAAATTTTAACCTAATAGATTGATAAAAATGCTTTAAATATATATCAGTAAATTATATCAATATATTCACCTATAATATTTTAAAGTATTTGACAGTATTTGAGTAGGTCAAATAATTCTTCGGTCAAATGACTAAACTCTGATTAAATTCCTTTAATTAATCCTATTAAATCGCAAAATTATTTAGTATTATAAAAAAAATAAATGATGAGTTATATAAATAATTACTTGATGTAATTTTTGATATAACTATAACGGAAGTAACCTTTTAAAGAATTTTACTTGTAACTCGTTACTTTTCAAAGGTATTTTAAGAGAATTAGATTTAACATATAAATTTATCAAATTAATTTATAATATTATATTTTCATTTATAGATTGGGATGATGATTTGCAATATTAATTTATAGTTAGATTATTTTAATATTTATATTTACCCTGGTAAATTTAAATATTAAAATTATATTTTTGATAAAAGAATAAAAATAGTTTTGAATTATTTTCTTAACCAACTACTCCCCTTTTGAATTTTTTTTTTAAAATGAGCCCCTCCCCACCCCCCTTTTATCATAAAAGCGAAAACATAGCATTCCCATGTTTTATAAATAGTAAATTGGTCTCAATTAGTTGTTACACGGGTCGTTTTGAGCCGATTTTTTAAAACGGCAAACTCTATATTTTAACAAGAAAAACATTGCCTTCGCCTAGATATTTCGATAACATATGTCTAGACCTTTGCTCCTTTTATGAGCAAAATCTTTAAGCTTGATAATTTTCTGGATGAAATATTGAGTTAGCCATTTTTAAAAATCGCTAAATCGAGTCGTTTAACAACACTAGTCTCAATTTTATAAAAATAGAAGCATTATTTTTCTACAAAAATTTTTATTAAACTTTAGAATAGGGGTTACATGGATTGCCATTCTTCCCATTAAAAAAAGTATTATTTAAAAAAGATAGAATGCTTTCAATAGGAGAGATCTGGGGTCGTATGAGCCCGAGGTTTTTGAGAATTTTGGGGTTTTTTCCAGCGTACTCAACTATAGTGATTAATTTTTTAACTAAATATGAATAACTATATCAATGCATATGCAGCTATAATTTTTTTAAATATCGGATAACATGTAAAATTTTTATAACACATGGTTTATACCCTAAAAAGTAACTTTTTTAAATGCTGCAATTTATCAAAAATAAAAAATAACAAAGGTTTTAATTATCCAATAAATATCTTATATAAAAGATTAATTCCTATTCTAAAAATTATTCATTATTTGTATAAAAAAATATGCTTAAACTACCATAAAATTAAATTAATTTATTGTAAAAGAAACAACTAACAAATGATGAAATATCATTAATATATTTAATGAAAACCCGTCCTTGTTAGTCGTTATGGAGAAAACAAACTTACGTTCTGAAAGATAATCCATACTTTATTTGTTTAAATTGTCAATAAATTTCATTAATTTTTAATAATTATTTTCAATTAAAGCTTGTTTTTTTATCTATAAAGTAGTTGCAATAATATATATATATTATTGTTTTTAATTCTTATTTATATTAAAAAACAGCATGAAATATAAATCTATATTAAAATAACATTTTGAAAAAAAAATTAATATGACATTTAAAAAAACAAGGGGGGGGGCGGAGACAAAGAAAGGGACTCTTATTAAAATCCGAGGAAAATAGTTGCCTCGAAATACAGCGATTTAAGTTGATTGTAACATTTTAAAAAAGGATTCATGATCATAATTAATTTGAATCTTTTTTAACCTAAAATCATAAAAAAAATGAGCTTAGTGGGCCTAGGGATCCATTAGTTTGACCTTTCAGCTATAACAATCAGATCAATGTCTGGGTTAAAGGAAAATTAGGAGACACAAGTGAAATCAATAAAGTGTTTTCCTCTAAACCAAGGAATGTATGTGGGCCCATACGGTCTTTTCCCATCAGACAGAAATAAGTAGACGGGTTCCAGTAGGTTAGGCTGTTGGTCAACCCTAATTTATTAGATTATAGAGTTAATAGCCCAATATCGATTGAACCGGCCTTTAGAATATAAACAGCTTAGACCATGTCTACCCTTAGGGTCGGAGTCTTTTCCTACCCTTTGCAAATGGGGTAGATATATGTCACGACCAAGTCTATATCTTATGGTCACTAGCTCCTCTTCGGATAACAAAAGATAGATTGGCACTAGGGACAGCTTCAAGCCATTCGTGGCCTGAGTTTTGTCCCAAGTATTTAAGGATTGGAATGTTTTCAAGGGAGGGGTTCATTCCCATCAATTTCTTAAAGTTAGACAGAAGGGGGGCCGAGGACTGTGGAAGGATAAAAGGCATAATTTTTTCTTCCATAAGTCGCTGGTATAGACTATCTCTGCCCCTCAAAAGTTTAATTATTATTCCTCGCTTTAAAGCTGATAAAGCTAAATTAAGAGGGAGAAACTCTAAACCACCTTTCTTGTCATATTTAAAAATGATCATATTTCGCAACTTGAAAGCGCCTAATTTGAAAGCTCATCCTTCCTCAAATTATTTACGGAAAAATTAATATAAGTATAATTGTTTTTTAATATTATTTTTATAGCATATAAATAACTAAGTGAAATAAAATGTGATATATTATTAATTCAATATTATCAAGTTAATTATATTGACATTTCCCTTAGGGCTAGCATGCTTCCAGGTCTCCCCTAAATCTTTAATTCTAAGACAATCGATAAGCGTAAAATAGATCATTTTTTATATTTTGACCTTTGATATATCTATGAAAAATATAAACGCTAGGATGCTAACGTTTAGACCATGTTATAGTTACATGTACTTGTTTGTATAAAAATTTTCGCCCAAATCCCAAGGGGTTCATTTAAAAATAATGTTTTCTATAAAATTTAATGTAAAGATCAAATCAATCTTATTAATAAATGATGACCTTATGGGGGGTCTTAATATTAAATTTTTAGTCATTTTATTGATGAGATTAGATAAAATCGAGAATTATTCTCTCTACTTAAAAACGGGAATAGTCGTCATAAGGCTTGTTGAAAGGGTACATGTTGTTTACTCAAAACCCATCAAAGTGATAAAATTCGAAATATCTAACCATTGTGGATGTTTTCTTTGGGTTCATGGGAGGGAATCAAATGAAGCATTCTTCCCATAAAAATCGTTCCGTCCAGCTCCAAAAAGGCTTCTTGTGCTTGTACTGGCAGCAAAAAGGTTACAAAACCGAAACCTTTTATTCGTTGGTTTAGTTTGTCCAAAGGGAGGTTAACTTCAATCAGGCGACCATACCTAATACAAATTATTTTTTAAAAAATCAATTCTTACATTATTTCTCTCATTTTTCTTTACCTTTCTTTTTTCTCATCTTTCTCTCTGATTTCAAATAATCATAAAACTTTCACTATTTTTTTAAAATATTTTATATCAAAGAATTAATTAACCTTTTCCTATAAAAAATACAACCAAAAATAATCAATTTCGAGAATTGTTTTATAGGCTTAATCACTATATACGTAATTATCACTCGGCTTATATATATTATTATGTGTTAAATGAGGGGCTAGGTTTTTGTAAAATAATGGCTTAATTACTTTTTAAGTGGGAATAAAAAAAATTATAGGGAGAAATGTGTCATGACATGAGGGAACGTTAGATTCCCCGCGCGTGAATAAAACTTATGATTTAAAGTACAAACTTAATAGAATATTTTTGCAAACTTAAAAAATAATCTGATTATGTTAATCCTTTCAAATTTCAATTAACGGTAATATAAACAACTAAATTAAATTTATAGAATCTTAAACTTGTACATCGTCCTAGCGAGCTCGACTATATTAGTTGTTACGAATTTAGTGAACGCGTCAAAGAATTTAAAATGAAATTCGCATAACTCATATGTGTTCATTTAAAATATTACATGAATAACATATGATTCCCAAATTTAGTTCAGTAAATTAGTTATAATTTAAGTTATGCACTTTGGATCTTATGCTCACTCTGAACTCTAAAAGATCATCATTATATCCTATAAATCTGATTAAAATAATATTTATACATGATAATTATAACTGAATAAAATTGCGAAATTAAAATTTAATTTGAATTTGCATAAATTTTATTTAATGTCACAAATAAATTTCTAACTTTAATTAAAAAATTTAATCAAGAAAAATATCTGACCCCGCTGCGATACCAATTTTAGTGGCCGTTATCGTTATAAAAAAAGAAACGCCGCAAGGCTTTCGGCGCAAAGATATAAGTATACTCATATTAACGTTCCATCATATTTTTGTCCTCTATACTTATTAGAAATTGTAAAAATAAGTTTACTTTTTATTTTTAGGCTTATATTTTTTTGTCATTGGAGAAATTCTTAAGAATTGAATCATAATCGCTTTATTAACGAGAGAAAAATTTCCATTTCTTGTATTTTATATTTATCTATTTATTTAGTATGATAATTCTTAGCTTATTCATGGCAGTAATACTTTATTTACAATCATGTGCTAAACAGGAATGAAGATGGGTGTAAGTAATTTCATTTAAAAAAAATTGACATTTTTTAAAAATTTGCATTTTTATTTTGGGGCTATAAATTTTCAAGAACCTAAAGACCCTCACATGCCCTTGAGTATGCTGGCCCTTGTATTATGCCAGTGAGTCTAATGTATTACTAATAAAATGCGCGCATTAAATCCATGATCCAAATAAACTCTTTATTATCTATAATATATATATAAAAGCTGTGCCACACTCACAGTGTCACAATTTATAATATATATTTTAAAAATCGTGAATTTTGAAAAGCATCTGTGGCCTAATCGGCAAGAGAGTCGCTTACAAATCTGATGGCCCTGGGTTGGAATCCCAGCAAAGATCTTTTTTTTCTTAATCCAACTTGGTGGTTTCGTCCTTTCGGATGGGCATTAACTAAATTCCCATTGGGCCTGAAAATGTTGTCATTTGCAGACCTCTGGTGGTAAATGCATGGGAAAATAAAATTGGTAGACGCATATCATTTATAAATGGATTCTTTAGCAGAGGTAAAATTCATTATGATCTGCTGTTTCGATGTCATAGTGACTAGAGGTCAGTGTTGTTAAACGCTACTTTTAAAAGTAGCGCGCTATAGCTACCGCTATCGTTTTCAAATGAGTAGCGCGCTATTAGCTACTTTAAAAAAAAAGACGCTATTTTGATTTTTTTAAAAAATATTATTTACGTAACTTTATTTCCACAAATAAAATATTGGTGTAAAAACATGGCTATAATTTGTTACATATATATATATAATTTATTTATTATTGCACTATAATAATAATAACATTTCGGTACTCTCATCCCCAAGTCTAGAGAGACCATCAGAAAGTATAAAAATCGTTCAGCACTAGCACTTGAGGGCAACGCAGTATTAAATTTAATAAACCCACTTTTATATTAAAAAAATTATCAAAAATATTTAAATGTTTTAGATTTAAAAAAAGCATCTAGAGGTTCAATAATATTATTATTATTTATCAAAAAAATCGTCTATGAAGGCCGCGGTTTCGATCTTTCTTTAGTATTAGTATCGTGGTTAGGCATGGCATTTTTTAACTTTACCATCAGCCTATCAAGTTGCCCTTTAGATTCAGTCAAATTAATGTATGGTTAATTTAACTTGAAACTAGGATGAACGATAGCAACTATTACATTATCATCATCATACAGATCTGGAAATCTAATTTATATAAAGCGATTGTATTTATTATAAAAAAAGAAGAATACCTTTTTAATTTTCAAAATTTAAATTTATCTGAGATTTAGATTCATTTTAAAAAAATATTAAAAAGCATTAAATTATGGTAAATAAAGATTTTAAAAATATAATTATTATACACAAGGTAATTAATAATATATTAATTTTGAATTTTTATAACTATATATTAATATTATACATTGAGTTGTAAATAAAGCCAGTTTAAATTATGGCTAATCAAGCAATAAATCATTCATTTTATATAAATAATAGAAAATAAAAAAAAAGTTTTGACCTTTTCTCAATGTCTTGAACAGTATCTATTATAAAGTTCATTATGACTTTGACAGCCAATTTTTGAGATACACCGGGTGTTGATGAATCCAAATTGCTCAATTTTGTTTGAATTAAATTTGATTTGGAAGTGGATGTATCTTCTTCCATTACCTCCAAAACTTTTGAGATATTTTTTAATCTCTTTATAATTTGAGGTGTGAACAGTCTAAAATTATAACAGTAATACTTAGAATAAGGAGATAAGTAAATAAAAATGATTGAAAAAACTATTTTAAAATGTTTTAAATTTTTTAGATAAAATTTATTAATATATAAAAAAAAAGATTAATCTTTGATTTAAAAATTAAGGATTAGCCTACACATTGATATTAAATTTGTTTTATATATTACTAAATGTTTTTTGAAATTAAAGCTGCTTGTATGATTTGAGGATAAAATTTTGCGACACATCTTGCATCGAAACCGATATCCAGTAGTAATTTTTTCTTCAAGATTAAAGTATTTTTTTAATTTTGAGAAAGGATAATCTATATTTTTCTCCTTTTCCAAAGAAATTTCGCTATTTCAACAATCTCACACATTTTTAATAACTAGATTTATAATGCTAACTAAATTTATAATGTATATTTTTAAATATAAATTTCAAAATTAAATTAAAGGATTATAATTTTAGATTTAATAAAAAATATATTTTAATAATTTTTAGATGTATTTATTATGTAAAATTGAAAGTATTTCTAAATTAGTAGCGAGCTACCGCTATCGCTATTTTCTAAAAAAAGTAGCCCGCTAAAGCTACTGAAAAAAGTAGTGCGCTATTTTAACAACACTGCTAGAGGTCTGCTAGTGCACTTGCCTGCTCATTTATTTAAAAATTTTGTTTAACTTGCCTGTCCTATGTTTAAAAATTATTATATTGGTTGATTTGGCTCTTATGTATTATTTTAATATTTTTTACACTTATAAATTATGAAATTTATATATATAAGCCGTGTCATACTCACAGTGTCACAATTTATATATATTTAAAAAATCGTTAATTTTGAAAAGCAACTATGGCCTAATCGGCATGAACTTCGCCTACAAATCTGATGGCTTTGGGTTCGAATCCCAGCAAAGATCATTTTTTTTCTTCTTAATCCAACTTGGTGGTTCCGTCCTTTGGGATAATTTTTAGGCCCAGCCCGGGTATATTTAAAATAATTAAAATATGGCACTTGTATAAAAATATATTCTCTTAAAATTAGGATCATTTTGAAGAATGCATCCATCATGAGAAGATGCAAACTTATTCTAAAGTCCGTGGATAACAATTTACCAAGGAGTGCTTTGTGGCTTACATTGTAAATAAAAAAACCTTTAAGGAAGGATCCATTCCCACATTCTAATAAATATGTACATTTTATATGATCACTAGCTGATGTCCCACAAGAATGGCAAGGAATTAGTATTCTACTTAATTTGATGATGGATAAATTGAATAAGCCTATATGAGGTGTGAATCAGAAATTTACCTTATTTTGATGAGTTAATTCCAAAATTTTATAATTGTTAATGAATATATATATACTTATTGCATTCAATAACAAATATTTGAAACATGTTTGAATATACTTTTTTTAAATTATATTAATTTCTTTATTTTTTATCATTTATGTACTCAATAAAAAATTTAATCTTGGATGAGGGTTTTGTATATTGTTATTATGGAAACATATTTTGGATATGGACTTAATAGAATGAGCCTTTTAAAATTGGCTTCAAGAAAGTGAAAACCAACTATTTTAGGAAGAGTATCTCAGATTGTTACATCATCAAGATACGAAAAATTTATATCCATATCAAATTTATATTTAAGATAATAGATAAGATAATGAATACCAAGGTAAAATAAACAAGGACTGTAATTCCTGCTGGATCCTTTCGTCAGAATCTATGACATGTGGGCTGAATAAAGAAGTTTTAATGTTGCAGTTGTCTCTAGGAATTTTGAATAAACAGGAAATTTGGGATAAAAACAATTTATGACTGTTATTGAAAGCATTTTTAAAGTATACTTTATAATAGCCATGTCAGGAGGAGGATTTTAGATATAATATAAATTCGTGTTGTTAAAAAGCCGAGTTTTTACGGCTCTGACCTCGCTTAGGCTCAAATAACGATTATGACAATTGCTACTTGTCTATACATCTCATTGAAGTTTTATTTTAACATGTACGCAATCTATATTTTTGCCCATTTGCGTCAAAAAACT